TAGGCCAGGCCAATATTTTTTTTTTACAAGTGTTGTTAATAGGAAAACTGCTTTTGCCCCCCATCTGGAAGTAAGACATCATCCCATTTGAGAATCTGAAAACCACCAGTACTACATGTATACAGAACATCTGTTGTTACTTGAAGCATAAACTTCAATGTAAGTTTCCCAATCTGCTGCATATATTCAAAGAGTTTGAAGAATAACATTCTTGTTTAAAAGCATGCACCTGTACTGCACACAAAACACTCACCCTCCTTTGTTGAATTCACAATATTGATACCTGTACAAACATAGCAGAAAGAGGGATTACACATTATAATTATCCCATGTTAGTAAATGTGGTCCCTTGACGTGCCGCATTGGCCTGGAGAGCTCTTAAGAAGCGGAACCCTTCATTATGGTGACGGGGCGGTTGTATCTATTATCTAATCAGAGAGTAATCACAGCAGTGGACTAAGTGAGTGCTTTATGCTGATGATGACACACAATGGCTGTTGAAATGTTAATGTGATGTCATAATAAATGCTTGTTCATCAACCAAGTGCTCTAGTCAATTAGTGCTTTTTATAGACAAACTTGTAAGAAGGTAAACTCAAGGTTGTTCAGAGCCAGCCAACTCACACTTACAAAGCGCACTATAGTGGAAAACTTTATAGTTATCTAGCAAACAAATGGGTCTGCTATCACTATTTTGAGTCATAAGCAGTGCTGATTCAAGATTCAATCTCACTTTCAGTCAGCGCAAACTATTGCATAGGCCAAGGGCAGCTGTGGCTACAGTGGTTTATTGAGTGTGCTGAGGGAATGAATAGACTAAAGCACTTTGAAAAACTTAATAATATTGCACACTATTCAGGTAATAGCTTGTGCTGCAAAGAGGTCTTGAAATTAGTTAGTAATGCTAATGTTATACATGTTTCTTTCTCAACACTCAATGTCAATGCTGCTAACCTTTACAATGTGTTTGAGTGCTTCTATCATAGACTGTACAAAGAAGTGGAGTGTGACATCACTCATAGCGTTTGGCTCCAGTCAGATGAAGCTGACGATGCTAGCGTTTATAGGAATTTGGAGCCAATTTCAATACGAGGAATAGAAATTTATTTGCAGAAAAAATTGCAAAATAAAAACCCCAGGATTATGTAGAGTGGATAAATATGAACATTTTAAGACCAAAATGACAAGGCTCACTGCAGCGGTCATAGAGAGAGAGGTGGCATTTTTCCATGTCAAGTGAATTGGAGCCGATGTAGCTAGAAGCGTCCCCATGGTCACTTTCTATTTCGGACACAGCTGCTAGTAGTTTAGCTATGTGTGTATATATAGTATATATATATATATATACAGTTATGGTTTCATTTATCTGCATATCTTAATCCTTAAAATCTTCTGTACATTTTGGCTGTGTTGAGGAATGGTAAAAAGGAAGAGACAACTTTATACCAATATGCCAGTTTCACATCTAGAACCTCTTTCTTCTTAAAAACATGATTCTCAAACATGTTGACCCAATTACAACTTAAACTTTGTGTAAAGTACCCCTTTAGTGTTTAGTGTTTAGTTTTTAGCGAGAGAAACAATCCCTTAGATGTAGGAATGACATCACATGCATATTTAAACACGACAACCAACTGAGACTATAGTTTTTCAACTACCAGATTACACCCCCACTCCAGCTTGGACTTTCTCCTTTGTTCCTCTCAGAAATTAAAGACATTTTGAGATTGTATAGAGTTCAATCAGCCTTTTCCACACTGCTGATATATTGGGTACGTGGCAGTCACTCAGACAAACTGTCATTAAGTTTTTCAAAAATCCTCTATTTCTTCATAAAAAACACAATAATGTGAGAGCATTATGGATTCTCGTCAGGATGTGCTCTCATATCCTTATTATGGTTTCAACTCCGCTCATTAATTTAAGCATATAACAGCCTTTGCGTGCTTATGTCTTGCGGTGCCACTTCTCTGTCTGCAGCCTACAGCGTTGGGTGTGTTTAATTCTGATCAGCTTTTCCCAATGCGGTTTTGTGCTGTTTGCTGTATCAATATGTAATTAGAAGCTAGCAGCCACCGCCGCACTCTGGGCTCTCAGCTCCTTCTTTAGTGGCGTCATTATACTTATGAGCTATACAGACAACAGGCCAGCAGCCAGTGGAGGAGGCGCGTGCAGGCCAGGATGGAGCTGAGGCGTACGGGCGGTTTGCTGGTTAATGGGGCCCCTCTCTTCTTTAATGAGCGCTGTAGTCGCTGCTCTCTGCGCTGTCCCCCTCATTACCTCCGTCTACACTTCTTCATTCTACCCCTGCGTCGTCTTTTTGGTTCCTTTTATACCTGAGCATCTCCACTGCGGATGCAACATTTCTCGGATGGTAGTTTATGTGGACTGCAATGTTGTAGGCTAGTTTACAGTGTTAAAAGTGCAAAAGGAGACGGGTAAAAGGCAGGGGAAAAGAGTAGCGTCTTATACAGTAGGTATGGATGTTTGCCCAGTAACCACAAGGTGCTGGTTTGATCCTTATTAAACTTCAAAACAAATAAAAGTTCTGTGCTTTTCTCAGTGGACTGGATATTAATCATGTGCAGCTTTTGATGGATTTGTGATACCACCTCTGCGTTGTAACCTCAAAGAAGTAAAAATGTCCTAATAACACAGTGTGGAGTGGTTCTTCAATCACTGTGTATCAAGCATTATCATATTTCACAAACTTTTAGAGCTGAATGGTGTTCCCTTTGAGACCAAACACGCAGGAAGGGCTTCAGTCATCCTTCAGTCAGACCAGAGCTGTTGAGATAACAAATTTTGAAGTGTGACATTGCTACAGAAAAATATCAAGATAAAAGTACAATATAAGTAGAATGATCTCAGTGAACCCTTTTCTAAATGCACAGTATTGTTAAAAAAACATAACACAAATAAATAGCAAAATGAAACACTAAAGAAACCTGTGTGCACCATAGCACTCGTGGGAATGAACATGACTGCTGTACTGTATCATAGTTCCTTACACAGACACTTTTACCCTATGTCAGTAACAGTTCCACAATACCTGTGAGGGAGTGCGGGCCCTATGTGGAGCACACACTTGTCATTAAATTGCAGGTTCGACTCAAAGACCTAAACTGAACGCCAGTATTTCTTGCACTAAGGGCAATGTTGCTACAGTTTTGAAGGCTCTATTTTATCGCTCATTTGAATTTGGTCTTTTAGGTAGAAAACGATGTGTCTGCCTGATTCTGTCATTTTCGAGATGTGTCATATATGTTTACTTGTACCTTGAAAACTAGTGCTCATCTCCAGACGGATCCTATTGAAAGAAGTGTCTGAGAGCTCTGCACTCAAATACCTGCTCAACGGCCGTGCTGTAATTTGTTGCTTGGAAACAACAAATAATTAGGAGGATTAATTATGCATATCATAAACCAGGCCGAGAGTGTCACTGTAAAAAAAACATTCATCCTAGACGTCATTAGAACAAACAGCAGCTCTTTGTTTATGAAGACATCTCCTTTGAATAACACTGTGCAATATGGATCAGTCTTCATAATGGGAGGACTCAGGAGTTATTAGCACTGGAAGCGTATGTTGGGTGCATTATGATCAATAAAGGTTATAAATCTGCTGGAAACGTAAAAGTGCTTGCAAAGAGTGCAAAGCAAAAGTTAACTGATAATTAACTTATTTATGTAAACAGTTAATTTCTTAAAATTACTAAATCAAAAAGGTGCGATGACAGAATTACTGATCTAAATATATAGAACTTTATTTTATTTATATTGCAGCAAACCAGTCACATAGTAAATTGGTTTGGATGAGCTACCTGTCCCTAAACCTGCTGCCCATAGGCGCAAATACGGACCCCTGTTAGTTTTTGCTACTCATTATTATAGCATAGAAATAGATTAGAGCAGCCTGTGATTTACAGAAAGTATTTGTTACATCAATGATTGTACTGGCTTGGCACTCCGCCACATGCCTAGATTTGAATATGGCCCGTGGGAAAAAAATAATTGCCCACCTCTGCCAAAAGGAACACTGTCAAATTTGGATATCTTTCCTGATGGGAACACACTTTAAAGGTGCACAAAGTAGCCACTTGCGTGTGTCTCCATAGAGATCTTACTGCTTTGTCTGGATTGTTCCACAGTATGGCAGGCATTAAATCTCTGTCTCACATTTACTCTCACTTGTATTTTTAATGCTCAAAAATTACCTGAAACATTCCAGGCAATTCAATAATATCTCCAAGGACAGAAGCAGGTGCACTTTTGCATGCATGCAAAATGCAATATTTACATAAAATATAATTCAAGTAATTAGTTTTTAGTTTGCATACTTTTACTAAACTACACATCTGGCTGCATGCGTGGGGTAGCTTCCATAGTGTGGATAGTTAAATTCAGATGCTGGATGTATTATTCAGTCCAAACTTCTCTCAGTCCTTTGATGCCACTCTTTGTGATGGCAGAGTTTTTTTCCCCAGAGGAGAGCATCTGCTGCCTCATTGTGGCGCCTTAAATCAGGAGGCAGTGTAAAGGCATCATAATGGCAGGGGGCTTACAGGAGCTGACATGCACACACCTTTAGCTCCTTTGTTTGTGCCGTGACGTGTAAATACTTCATTGCAATGGGGTGTCAGAAATACGGTGTTGGGGTAAAGTAGTGGACTAACTATGGCAAAGTATAATAAAGAATTACCTATAGAGTTCTGTGTGACTCAAAGCATTCAGTCCTCAGTATTGACAGGAAAGAGGAGAGCTTATGAATGTCATAACTCTACTTTAATTATTTTTTTTTTTCAATTGTTAACATATTCTCTGATTATATTGATCACATTTACAATGGCATTTCACAGTCTATCTATGCGATCCAACTGGGGGATATCTTGATTTATACTACTGTGTGATGAGATGGAAGAAAGATTTTACATTATTATTGGCCAAGAGTAAGAGCAAACACTGCACACACTCCTGTCAAATAAGGAAATGAGAACAGAATACAAAAAAATCACCTTTATTTAACAAAGGCATGGATAAATTATATCAATTAGAGCTGAAAGATCCTAATATAAGTCAGTGTTGTGGAGTTTGTTTTGCAAACTGGGCCTCCATCGCTGATGCCATCCGCTTCAACAGCCCAATCACAGCAGCCATGTGGGTGTCCATCTTGTTGAGTAAAGCTTCATGCATTTCTCTGCTGTGCTGGAGGTACCTTTCCTGCATCCTTTCCAAACACTCCACGAGATCTGAGCTTTCCTTCCTCTTGCGCTTCACTGGCAACAACAAGGATAGTTAACAGTTTCTAGGGAGTGGATTTGAACTGAAACATGACATATTTTAGACAAAGCTTCAGATTCTAAGATTAGTGAGTTTCAAGAAGTTAAATAAATAAATATTGTGGAATAATGCAAATGTTGCTAAACACTTGCAGTTTATATTACAAAACACTAAACTGTACAGAACTTTTCTGTTCTACAAACTGAAAACAATAAATACAGTATGGTATGATGTTTGAATGGGGGGTGGGGTAACTATTACTTTCATTGTTATTACACGGATTCTGTTGAATTTATGGATAATGCCCATGCAGTCTCTCTGTCAAATGTCTCACAATATGATGAGTGATGAGAAAGGGAGTAATGTTTAGTTCACCTGGTCGGAAGCGAAATGGCACACTTCTGACTGTAGGATGATAGAGGTTACTACTGGCGACTTGATGCTCCTCTGTGCTTGGAAACTGGCCCAGATCCTGCTCAGGCTCTGTTGCGCTCTCTGACAAAACATGACCAAAATCTACATGTCAGCATCAGTGCCTCTTTCATATCAGTTTACTCAATTTGACACAAAATGACAAACTGTTGATGGTTTACCCTCAGAGCTCGCTATAGATTCTACATGGTTGTCTGTGCAGATGGACTCAGGGCCCTCTCTTGACTGTGGGTAGTTTTCAGTGCAGGTGGACTCCATCAACTCCTCTGCAGAGTTCTCAGATATGAGCACAGGGGTCTCTGAGTAGAAAGGACGGTGACCCAGGATGTTGTCCAGGATGTCGTACCACTTGCCGGTTTTGATCTCCGCACCACTCAGGTTGTTATAATCTTTGATCTTCTTATAGTCCTGTTTGAGTTTCTTAACCTTCTCTCTGCACTGTTTTGGTGTGTGGTGAACGCCAAAGTTTTCCAATTCCTCTGAAATCCTCTCAAAGATTTTGCTGTTCTTCTTATGACCCTCACAGTCTCCCTTCATCTTGGCTGTGGCGTACACGCTGAGGAGAGCTTGGACCTCTGCATCAATCCATTTATCGTTGTTTTTGAGCACTGGAAAAAAATAGCAAAGGCTAAAATATAACTTGAAATACAGCTTTCATTTCCATAATAACGGTCAAACTATAGTAACTGAAAACACATTCTCAGTGTTTAAAAATAATGGGTCCCAATTCAACTTTCCCTTGCATGCACACTAAAAAAGCACACTGATGTCTTACGTGGGCCGGACAGTGGTAAAGAGGAGTATGAGCTGCCCTCTGCTGCGCCTGATAGAACATGCACGATTTTCAAATCAGAGTTACACAGAGCTATGAAGACAAAAAAGTTATTGTTTTTCTATGTAATATCATAGACTATATATGTCACACAACAACTGTTTTACAATTTGGAAAAAGCCAAATACTTACCAGGATCAATGGTCAGCTGTAAAACAGATTTACTGTCAGGATCACAGGACACACTCCCTGAAAAACATAAAACACGATGAAGCCAATTGTGCCATACCCCATTTTACGTTGTTTTGTTTTTCCCAGCAGCTAGCATTCAGTGTGATGTCATAATGTGTGTTCTTGTGCTGGTGTATTTCTATTGGGTTAAAGATAATTTGTGTCTCATACAGTGGATGAAATAAAGCCAAGCACATAATATCTTGTGTAAACTGTCCATGTGCACTAATTAAATATGACTGTGGCACTGAAACCTGCCATCATGACCCACTGGTACCAAGTTATGGTGGTCCACTGATTGGACAAATGTGGGCATCCTCCTTCTCCTATATGTTCATCAGATTTTTTACATGATGACATAAACATGCATATAACCTTAAGACTGAAACACTAAATTTCACCTAAGGCATGTGCTCCCTCTGAGTTTCCTCTTGAATTTACATTGTTGTCTGAGATGGACTCGAGGTCTTCTCTTTCAGTGCAGGTGGACTCCATCAGCTCCTCTGCAGAGTTCTCAGATATGGGCACAGGGGTCTCTGAGTAGAAAGGATGGTGACCCAGGATGCTGTCCAAGATGTCGTACCACTTGCCGGTTTTGATCTCTGCACCACTCAGATTGTTATAATCCTTGATCTTCTTATAGTCCTGTTTGAGTTTCTTAACCTTTTCCCTGCATTGTTTTGGCGTGTGGTGAATGCCAAAGTTTTCCAATTCCTTTGAAATCCTCTCAAAGATTTTGGTGTTCTTCTTCTGACACTCAAAGTCCTGCTGCATCTTGGTTGTGGCATACACGCTGAGGAGAGCTTGGACTTCTGCATCAATCCATTTGTCGTTGTTCATTTTTTGCACTGCCAAAACAGCAGAAGCAAGAAACGTGTATATTAAAGCTTTGTACTGAACATTTTCTAATCATCACTAATACAACCAGACTGGTTGAAACTACCCTATTCTTTAACCATGCTCCATTGTCTCTATGGATTTTAAGAAGAAGCTGACCCTATAATAAACTGTGTTACCTGGTCTGAGTGGTGGCATAGAGGTGTAGGAGCTACAATCCAATGCCTCTAATCCTATGGAAACATACCTTATTATAGTGTGAACATAAAATTGTTCTATACATATCAAGCAACATCCTGTACAGATGTATTATATGATGAAATAAGAATTTACCGGGATCAATAGGCAGCTGTAATAGTGTATTATTTTCTATAGGCTCAGTCTTCACTACATCGCAGTCTCGTGTTGCTTGCAAGACTGGCTCGCTGATAGGGGGTGGCTGAGCTATGAAAAGAGTTATAATTCAGTTATTCAAGACTTACACAAAGACCCTACAAGGTAATTCTGTAGCTCTCTGATTTGAATAGCTATCAAATAATCACATTTACCATGCAACCTTTAACCTCATGCTGTGAGTAAGAAAAATTAAGTATGCCACTATGGTGACCAATAGAAAAATGCATTATTAAGCCATTTATTATTTTACACAATTACATACAATTCACGTATAACTTTAATCAGAGCCTGTACCGATCAAGAAGTAAATTTAAAATAGCAACAACATGAGGACCAAATCTCACCAGTATTTGTGGATGTGTTCAGGAATTCGTCATCATCTGTGGGCTCGGTCTTAACTGTCTCTGTGTTCTGGGGTATACAATCGTCTTTAGCTCCAAGGATGAAGTCCACTACGTCTAAGTTGATTATGATTCCCTGACTGTTCCCTGTTTCTTGGTTGGGGTTGTTCTTTTGAGCATTGTATTCTATCTTTAAAATTTTTATTTTGTCTACAATCTGTTCAGCTGTCAGGTCATATCCCTGCTGCCTCATCTCCTTCTGGATGTCCTCAATAATGTCTTTGGAGGTGCAGGGTGAGCCCAGTCTTTGGTGTAGCTCAGCATTAGTGCAGATCTTCAGTAAACAGTTTATCTCCTGCATAGAGCATGACTCTTTCCATGTTTCAGCATCTAAGAAGGAGACAAATTACAGTTAAAATGATAATTTCATAAACCAGGTTTATGCAATTACCAATTGTTTGTAAAAATAAAAATGTATGGACGCATTATGGTTGTTTTTGTGAGGTACATATTTTTCTATATTATTAATTATTATTAAGTCATCTTTAAGCAATGTTTTTCATCCTTTTTTGAGTTGTGGCACACTTTTTTGATCAAAAACAAACAAACAAAAAATGGCACACTACCCACAAATGGTTCAATAGTTCCTTGGGACACTCTAAAGTGGTAAACTATTAAATTATTAAATTAAAACGTGAGAATTAACTGAAATAAAGCTGGATTTAAAAAAATCAAATAAGAATATGGTGTATTTATATGTCTTCTTTTTTGTTAAGACTGAAATAAGTCAATGCACAAGGCTAAATAAAATATGTAATATACAAATTAAATGAAGAAGTAAAACTGGAGTTGTAATTCACTGCTAATCCCAATAAATTACAATAACGGCTTCTTTCAACTATAATGAATGGTCTGTCACTCACACTCTGTACACGTGTAATAATTCACACAAATGAAAATATCAACACAATGAACTGCTACACTCATGTTAGAGGACTGCTGCTTTGTGTTCCCAGTCAGAACCTCGTCCCCTCCCTCCTCTCTCTCTGCCTCAGCGGGCAGAGTGGAAGAACCCCCTCCCTCCTTTCTGCTCCACACACACACAGGAACTCTATCCCTCCCGCCCTGTGCCACACTCACAGCATTTAAACATCTCTTCACAATCACACAAACTTGCCATTTTCTGTAGGAGATGGACGCACAAAGTAGTCCTCCTGTTGCAGTGACTGCTGTTCTCTTCTGCCAAATGCACACTCCAGAACCTCATAGTACGGGTTCTTCTGGATCCAGTAGTCCCTGCCTTGCTTGGAGTATAATGTCTGCTCCTTAAACTCCATCTTCAACTTCTTGATTTTATTCACTATCTGCTGGAGCGCACGCTCATGTCCTTGCGCAGCCAGCTCTCTCTGGATCTGCTCATACTGCTCCTTAGTTCTGGTAGCTCCTTTGTGCCGCGTTTTATTCTCTGGAGAGGACCAGATTTCCAGGAGACATATTGTTCAGCGATTGACCAGTACTGCTTACCCCTGCCCATATCGCAGCTCTTGTGGTAGCATTAGTGGCTAGCGGTTGTTGTAAGCTCTGAGTTCTTTGCTGTGTCTGTGTCTGGCTGGAACCGGTTTTCTCTGCTCTCAGCCAGTTCTAGTTCCCTTTCTGCCCCTCCTCCACCCGTTCTGAGAGTGCAGGCTGTGTGTGCATATGTGCTCAGAGAGAGGGAGAGAGAAGCACGGGGGTTGGTACTAGAACTGTGGCTTCCTCTTTCAGTTACTGTTACCAGATGAAAAGAAAATACCAAGTCAAACACAGTCAGTATTAGTATCACAGTCGTACAGAGGTAGATAAATTAGGTAAAACCAATGCAATAATAGGTAGACTCAGGTAGACATTTGGATAATTACCAGAATGAGTTCAAATAGACAGGCCTACTTGGGTATTTACTGTAGTGATTTTAGTCACTCTCACTGTTCACACTGTCTGGGGCTCCACATTTCACAGCAGTGAGCTGTGGGACATAAAACAGTTCTCAATTCTCACCATTGTGGTGACATCACAGCTCCAGTCTTACCAGTGACTGGCCAAATACTGGCTGACCCACTTTTGTGTTCGATGTGATTCGATCTGAGGCTTCTGGGCTTTTTACATTTGCAAATAGTCAAATATATGCATAACATGTTGTAATTATTTACATGCAGAATGAATGATAATGGCCAAAGAGCCCCACATGCTCAAAAGGTTCTCCCAAAGTTGCAAATGCATGTTTCCTCTACTGTATATTGCAGTGCATCAGCTCTCTGTACAACGCCATTTGCTAGCCAAGTATGTGTGTTCATCATTTACCAAAACTTGTTTCTCTCCAATCTTTGAATTTACCGTGTAATCAAAAGGCATGGTTGTAGCAGTTTCCTGAACAATGTTTCTTATGTGAGTAACTGAAGTATGTTACATGAACCATAGAAGGTTATAATGATTTGAAGACACTCAATGAGCCATTTGGGGCTAAAATGAACAACAGGTGTTCAGACAAAAGAGACAAGCATGACAAGCAAATACTCACATAAGCCAAATGCTACTATGGCCCCTTGTTACATCAGCATCTTGGATCAGGAGTGCGCTTTTTCCAAACCTTTTCAAAACAATTGAACAGCAGTTATGGTGCACTGGACTATTGGCAGATGCTCATATGTGGCAGGGGTATAATATGAAATGAAATACAGCATTATTAAGATGAGGAGTCAAGCAGGCGCAGAGTTGTGGAACGAGTGATAAAATAAGGGCCCTCATCAGCACAGAAGAGACATTATGAATTATTTAAGTTTGGGAGAGATTTACAGTATAGGCCAGCTGATTTAGCTCGGGATCCACTTCCTCTTCATCTCATTATTTACCCCCCCTCTCCTCCTCTCCAGTCAATCTCTGGTAAAACACAACTTTCATCTTTTTATATCTTCTTTATGCTGTGCCTAATAATTTTGTTATCCTACTCTTTATCTTCTACTACTTTCCATTCATCTGTTTGGCCCAGATTTGATGTCAAAGTTTCTCTCTTTTCTTGTTTTTATGTTTTTACTTCTGTTTTTAAGGCCTAGTTCTTTTTCATGTACCACTTCATATGGTTGAACATTGTGTACCATGAAGATAAGTAGACATTCCTTATTTCTTTATCTATGCTGTTTTCTCAAACTATTTTTATTAAACTGGCAAGAGACTAACTGCCTGTTTACTAGATTTTAAAAAGAAATAAAGTAGAAATGTGTATGTGCATATACTACTTTAGTTTTGAAAAACACGTAAGCTACAAATATGGGCACATTATTTATTTTTGTTAAAACTGTTGAGTAAATAATAATATTTTATGGCTAACATAGTTAGACTGTAGTCTGTGTTTACATTACACATTTCAGACTCTTCATAGTGTTATTTTGAAAACATCTACAAATACAAGTGATCATAAGTTATAAAATTATTTTGGGAAGTTCAGCATTGCTATTTGTGATTCGCTGAATATAGGCTTTAAGTTTTTACCATCAGCCTCATGTCTACAGCTTGACTTGACTGACTGTGTTGCAATAAAAAGAAAAGATTTTAAAAGTTAGATTGCTCAGGTATCCAGTGAGAACAAATGTCCAAACACACTATGTAAAATGTTCCTTGGTGAGATGACCTGGAGGAGTTGAGGACGCGTACGAGCTGAAGCGTTAAGAGTTAGGCGTTAGGAGTTAGGGAGGAGGAGACGAGGGATGTGGGCCTTGGTGAGTGAGTGCTGCGCAGAGACATCGCCAGGAATGATTTGGAGCCTGCAGGTGTTTTCATATCCTAAAAGAGATCGATATTTGCGTTCATTCTGACGCTGACTGTACCGCGCTGCTCCAAATAAATAACCATAATCACAAAACGCCCCGAGATTGACTCTCAATAGAATTATCATTCTTTTCTCTTTGGCAGATTTGGATATTGCTCCTTCAGGGTTCTCAAATGACTTTGCTGTGGAGAGTGTGTGTGCGCATACTTGTTTATCCGTGTGTCGGGGCCATTCAAATTTCACTGAGTCAATGAACTATGGGCATTATATGAAGTGTGCGTGGCTAATCTTGTGACAGTGTGTATAGATGGTGGTTGTGTGTGTAGCTGTGGGCTGTGAACAACAACAGGCTGCAGTAATTGAATCTTCATCTGAGCCCTTAAGACCGACATTAGACAAAGAGAAGCTGCCTGCCTGCTCTCATTACAGTATAGGGCTGATGGAGCCGGAGTGCGCAGCAGTGGGCTCTGTCTTTCATCATTAAGCACTGATGGGCCGGCGCTCCAGCACGACAGATGAAGTGATATGCAGAAGAGCACGGCTAAGACCAAGAGTTTTAACCTGCCATTGGAGGTAAGCCTAGTGCCTCAATATGATATAAATACATCAAACACATGAATCGTGTTAAGATCCCCAGTCTTTTTTAGTAAATAATGTGTGTATATTATATTATACATTTAAGCCATAGTGAGTACAGATCAAAAATGCCATAGGAAGTACAAGAGATCAAAAATGCAAGCTTCCTCGGGAAATATGTGACATATAGTCCCAGTGGTGGTCGCATGTACTATGTGCAATCATCAATGACATACCAGAGTCTCAGTATTGTCACTTTATTAACCTCACAGGGAAAAACTGATTAAGTTCTTTAATAAAAAGTGTTTTTTGTTGGTCTAAAACAGGGCTAAAGGGGGTTTGAAGCTTCCTTTTGATAATGTTTAAGTTCACCAAAACATTATGAGACATTTGTTCTATTTCATTTCAGTGAACCTGTAACCACGTGACTACAACCCTCGGGTCAGGAGCATTATGCCAAATTAAACACACCTGTGGGTGCGCGCTACACCTATATGAATGGCGCGCGTGCACACACTCACCCTCTTTCTATCCTCCTGGTCGTTGAGAGCTTATGCCGCGCGGCTTGAGATTTTCGCCGTTTTGTTCACGGATCATCGCTGATTTGGGCTGCTCCTTGTTGTAGTACCCCCCTGGCGTTCCGTGTCAATTTTGTTGCAGTTTGGTGAGTGTATCGCTCCCGTTTGCCGGTTGCAAACTTTGCTATCTAGCCGGCTTGTGCATTTGTTATGCTAACTTAGCTCTGTTTGTAGTGCCGTGAGAGCGCGCTTCGCCGCCTCCTGGCTTGGAGAGGTATTGCAGCTTTCTGCTGGGGTCTGCTCTCCTTAGTGCTTGTATTTTTCTATATTATAGTATTATGATATAATATACGTGCACATAAACTTATTTTTCATTTGTTTGTGCAACAGGGGACTTCATTCTCCTCTAGTGTGAATCTCCTGTGTCGAAATGGCTTCGGAGGTGGATAGTGACCACATGGATTGTGTTACTCTTATGGAGACGCTGCCACCTGGTCAGGAGGTGGATTCTCCTCCCCCCCGTAAAGCGACGCGGAAGTCTGGTGGTAAACGGGCACATGACCACGTTTATGACCCCAGGGTAGATCATCTCCAGAAACAACTGGAGGCTATGCGTAAGACCATGGACACCATGGCTGCTGCACAACAGCGGCTGCTGGAGAATCAAGCCCCTCTGCGTGGGTTTTCTCATCCTGATGCCGTTTCACTGGCCGCTTCGGGTAACTTGGGTAAGACCGGCAGCTCAGGCTGCGGCTCCTCTGCTTTGTTGGACGGTTACGAGGAGGAGCAGGTTATGTTGGATGATGTTGCTGGAGAAGGACCGTCATCTGAGATGGGTGACTTCTCTATTAAAGCCCTGCTCACACGAGCGGCCGCTGCTGCAGGTCTTCCTGCTCCTCCATCTCCACCCAAGGCTTCTGCATTAGATCGGGGTTCGAGCCGCCAGGGCTATGCCCTTTTGCCCGTCTATTTGGATTTTGTTTCCCGTCTCCACGAGTCGTGGGCTCGGCCAAGAGAAGCTTTGCTTCCCCGCTCTGCACTAAGTGTGCTTCACAATGCTGCTGAGCATGGGTTGGATGGGACCCTACAGGTGGAACCTTCATTTGCACTCCTGGCTGGGGCATCCCCTTCAGGCCGGGTCGCCTGTCATCCCAATAAGAAGTGCAGGGCTACTGATGGCTTTGTGGCGAAAGCCTATCAGTCTACTGCCATGGCTGCTAGACTGGCAAACACCAGTGCTCTACTTCTGGTGTATCTGGAGGGCCTGATCCGAGATCTGGATTCTAAGAGCCCATCTGAGCTCATGCCTGAAATGACTAATATCATGGATATGGTGATTCAGGGAGCGAGTGCTCAGGCCAAGGTCCTGGGTAACTCCTTGGCCCATCTTACCATGGCCAGGCGCCACATTTGGTTGAGCCAGACAGCCTTGACAGAGGCGGAACATGCTGCTGTTTTGGGAGCCAGCATTTCGCCTGGTCATGTGTTTGGTGCGGCTGCAGAGGCAGCCTTGGATGAAGCCCAAAAAGTGCGAATGCGCAGTCGAACCATGCGCAATCAGGGGCTCTTGAGGTCGCGTCCTCGGATGGCCCCAGAGAGACGTATTGGCCCACAAAGACCTCAGTCAGTGGGTCAAGGTTCCTCACAGGATTCTGGAGGTGGTAGACAGGCCTTTGTTCCCCGAATGGGCCGACAGAAGGTCCGTGTCCGTTCTCGGGAGCGCGGTGCACGGGGTCCGCCCAAGTCTGCCCAGCGTTCCTGACTATGCGCTCCGGCTGAC